GGAGCACGTGGGGGAAGGAGATGAGTGAGGGAGTGAGTGGGAGTGAGGCTCGAGGAGATGGGGGGTGGCACCCTTATTCTCGCGCGGGCGTCGCCGGTGAGGCAGGTCCGACGGGGACGAGCGCCTGTAGCGGTTCGGGTCGGGGGAACATGGGGGAGGAGACGACCGGGGGTGGGGGCCGTTGGGTTGGGCCGGATGGTGGCGTAAGGCCTATGGCAGAGTGGGGGGCGGGGTCTTTCCTTTTTTCTATTTTTAAAAAAAATCTTTTCTGATTTTCTTCTTAAAAGAAAGTATTTTAGTTTTATAAAATATAAAGCTTGCACCTAAAATAGCATAATAAATTAGGCCACTTCCACATTAAGTTTATCATTTAAATAAACCAGTTTAGTATTTTTATAATTTAAAAAGCAATTAAATTATTGTTTTAGCCCATGTTTTATTTATTTTAGGGCATTTAAACACTTTATAAAAATGTTGGTTCACCACTATAATTAATTTTGTATTATTTTCCATAGGATGAACATTTTAGTTTTCATGTTTGTGAATTTCTATATTTCACTTATTATTTGAATTTGAATTCAAAGTGAAATGATGAAATGAGATATGGAATCAAAGGTGATTAAGCACTGTTTAGCAAAATAATTAGCTTAATCACGAAGGGTTATTGCAGCTCATTTACCAGGGGTGTTACATAGAGCAACGCAATAAGCAAGATGACATGATATAAACAAAGAAATACAGCAAGAAGATAAATCCCTGTCGTTTTACCCTTAGTGGCAACAATACAAATATACGTCTTGTCCCCATCATATCACTGAAAAAATAGAATACCGCAAGATTGAACCCACTACTTTGCACCAGTCCCTCTAGAGAACTGTTCATCAATCTTGGCGAGAGAAGACAAATAGATCGGAAAGCATATATACTAACTTAACTATATAGCAAAGAAACTTCAAAAGATTCAATGATATTCAATGAACAATCTGATCATAAATCCATAACTCATCGGATCCTAACAAACACACCCCAAAATTACATCGGATTGATCTCGATCAATGAGAATGCATTGAAGATCAAAGAGAGAGAGAGAGAGAACCATCTAGCTACTACTATGGACCCATAGGTCCGAAAGGAACTACTCACATATCATCATGGAGACAACAAGGTTGATGAAGATGGCCCCTCCAATGGCTTTCCCCTCCGGCAAGCCCCGGAATAGGGCTATAGATGGGATCTCCTTGAAACAGAGGCTTGCGACGACGATAAAAGTCTCTGGAGGTACGACGGATGGTTTCTCCATTTTATAGAAATTTATGGCGGTGGTAATAGATCAAGGCGGGTTCATGGGTCACACAAGCCCAGGTGGTGCGATCACTCTCCCTGGCCGCACCACAAGCCCATGTTGACGGACCCTCTTAACGTCTCCCGAAGCTTCCAATGTTTCTTATTGCCCAAAAAATCATGTTAAATCAACAATACATTTTGACCTTCGTAGATATCGATTTCCCGCGAAACAAAAAACAAGCAGAAAACATAAACTGACACTGGACACTAAGTTAATATGTTAGTCCAAAAAAATTATTAAATGATAATACAAGTACATAGAAATGATAATGGGCAACGACGTGTATTTTCTTACTATTTATATTTTCGACAAAAACGTGTATGTGAATGGGCAACACGACGGTCCATCTATACCCGCATCAAATCCCCTAGATATAAGCGGAGTATAGCAGTGGCCGTGTGTAATAGCTCCTATAACACACACAGACATGAGTTGCTTTATTGGCTAGCCTAATAAATTTCACAAATTTTCTTTAAAGTTCTGATTTAACTAAAATATCTGTTCTTCCCTAAAAAGCTGCAAAAATATATCTTAAAAATGAAAAAATTCAGAAGTTTGATTTTTCGCCTTATTTATAAAATATTAACATATCAAAAATAGTGGTTTATTTATTTTTAAAAATTAACATATTTGAAAAAAAAATCATGTTCATGTTAAAAACAATTTTCCAGAAAACTCCATATACAACTAGATCCATATTTATACGCTTTTATACAAGTGGACAGTGCTACGTGTCCGCCGGATAATAAACAGATTAGATCGGCCGCCTCGGACTACCGCCCCAGCCAACTGAGGACCTTTGCAACAACTAGCTTGTTGAGCTCAGGGCTTTGCAACAAGGTCCACTGAGACGACACCGTGCCCCGCCATGGCCTGAGCGCCTCACTCATGGAGCGCTGCTGGCCGCGGAGTTGTCGCGCCTCCTCCAACCAAGCACCCCGAGTAGCTGCCTCTACTTCAGCATGATGACGACGACGACGAGTTCTCATGCCAGACACTCCTCTCGCGATTTCTACAAGTGAAGCTATGTTTCTGAAACATGCGTCATGTTGCGATGCTTGGCCTCGTACGCTCTAACACCGGGCGCTCCTCCGGTACTTTCTGCAACCGGGGCTATATTTCTGAAACAAGACTCTTGTTGTAGAAGAAAAAATATTCATCATCGAACCATTTTTCTTGTTTCTGAAACAAGACATTTGTTGCAGAAACCTTCTGAAACTAGACCCTGTTGCTGAAAAAAAACTTCGCTATTGATTTTTTTTTGTGAAACAAGACCTTCATTGCAAAAACATTCTGAAACAATACGCTAGTTGCAAAAAAAAAAAAAAAACTGGCTGCACCGGACTTGTGGCCAACCCGAGCGCTTGATCAAGATCAATCTGACGGCTACGCAGGCGGCGGGCGTTGTGCGTGCATCAGCTGGTTGAAGGATAGCGTTTTCCTTATATCTCACGCACGCCTGCGTAGCCGTTAGATTAAAAAGCAATACAGAAAACTCCTTAAAAATGTCGCTACATGGGCCGGCCCAATACACTTCACAATTTTTCTTAAATGTTTTGATTTAATAGAAATATTTGGTCTTCACTACAAAGTACTCCCTCCGTTTCAAAATAGATGATCCAACTTGATACTAACTTAAATAGATGACCCAATTTTATACTAACTTTGTATGAAGTTAGTACAAAGTTGAGTCATTTATTTCGAAAAGGAGGGAGTAACAAATATATATCCTAAAAAGAGAAATACTCATAGGTACTGTAAATATGTTCATGTGTACGAAAAAGACGTTCATTTATTTCAGAAAGTGTTCACACATTTGATTTTGTTTGCGGGGGCCATTTGATTTTTTATTGTTCTCTAAAAATTGATTTTTTTCTCCAAAAAAGTTCATATACAATCACTACCTCCGTCCCACTATATAAGACCCTTTTGCAAGCTACGTCTTATATCGTGGGACGGAGGGAGTAGATTCATTTCATACAGTTTTGCAAAATGTTGACTGTATACCCCCAAGAAAGTGAAACCATAAAGTAAATAAAAACGAAAATGAAGGAACAAGAAAAAAAAGAAAACCAGATAAAATGTCATAGAAAAACCTACATGGGCCGGCCCATGTAGGAGTACTAAGCTTTATAGCAACTAATTAGGGCCTCTTTGATTCGCATGATTGTCAAAAATGAAAGAATAGGAAAAATGCAGAATAGAATGGCATGTCCTATAGTATCCTACAGGATTTGAAAGAATGTTTGATAGCACGGGAAAAACAAAGGAATTCTACAAAGAGGTTTGAGTGGATGGAAATTATCTTTCAAAATGTAGTACAAATGGATTCTATGGAAAAATTTCTAAGGATGTCAATCCTACGAATCAAACGAACGTCACAGAATTTTTTTTAAGGGTTTAAATTCTCAAAAATCTAATACAATTCCTTTGAATCAAAGGAGCCCTAATCCTTGCGGGCTAGGAGGATATAGAGATTCCTATTTGTCGGCCCAACCGACGGGAGCCGGCAGCGTCGTCTCCCCGTTCGCGCCAGAAAAGGAAAAAAACGCAATCGATTCCGGACTTCAATTCGTTGGCGCGCGCCAGCTTGCCCGCCCGCCATTGCTTCACCCGTTTCCTTTCCCTCCACGCTCTCACTCCAATTCCATTCGTTTTCCCTCCCTCCCTCCTCCAAATTCACCAACAAAAACCGCCGAGACGCCCACAGAGGGAGAGAGAGATAGAAAGACGATCGAAACCGGAGAGATCGAGATCTAGGATTCTAGGGTACCGGCCGTTGCTAGCCATGGCGCCGCCGAAGCCGAGCTCTCCTCCCAACCCCAACCCCAACGCCAGCCCCAACTCCTCCTCCGACGCCGACAAGGCCAGGGGCAAGACGAAGGTGACGCCCCTGCAGGTCGCCTTCCTCGTCGAGCGCTACCTCGCCGACAATGGCTTCTCGGCCTCCCTCGCCGCCTTCCGCTCCGACGCCTCCCACCTCTTCGCCAAGACCAGCAACAACATAGTCCCTCCCAAGGGCCTCCTCCCTCTCGCCGACATCCTCCACGACTACATCTCCCTCAAGGAGTCACGCCTCGCCGTCGACTCCGCCATGCAGGCCATGCAGACCCTCGTCTCCACCTACTACCATTCCGGCTCATCCGCTCATCTCGCGGCGCCGCCCTCCTCGCCGCCGCTCGTCCCGCCCTTCTTCGTCGGCCCCACCACCTCTTCTCCCCCGCACCCACCCATGGTGGCCATTCCCCCGCCTCCTACAGGTACCTTCGCTCTTTCACTCCGTGCACCCCACTTGTTCGACGTTATGCGTGCTAGTCTATGCGATTGTTATTTTTCTACTAGATTCCAACCCCTTGTTTGCTTGCATCTGATTTATCTTTTAGGGGAGAATTTTGAACTGCCCTTTGACTTGCAAACCTATGGTTTGGAAAGTGTGTACTGTCATAAGTTGTAATTCTTGCCTAAATTTTTGTTTAGTTTCTGAACTGCACTGTTAGATATATTTTGGGTCACAAGCACAGCAGGTACATGGATAGTAGATGGCTTGTCAATTGGTTACAGTTTTTAGAATTGGACTGTGTGCATTAGTAATTTTTTTCCTGAATATGTGTGTAGCGTATCATTTACACTAATAGAAAGTTGAGAAAATACAGATGCCAATAATCTCCTCCCAAATATGACTAGGCAAACACATTGTATTTCCATTTGAAAAACTGGCAAATGCAGTATTTCTCCTCCAACTGCCTTCCACATGCAGCCTAGTCATGTCCTATTACGCGTAGCTTTTGCCATCCATACATTGTGCATTAGATTTCAGTTTATCACCTGGTGGCTGGTCCTATTATTCATCTTGTAATTAACAAGGTCCCTTTTCTGTTATTGTTGCAGGCTCCTCTGGATATGCTACGCCTATGATACACTACACACAGTCATCCTCCTCGCTTGTTGTTCAGAATTCTTCAAATGCCAACAACATGTCCACCCCAGCAGCCAGTTCTTTGCCTACAAAAAAAAGAAAGGCAGCCAAGCCTGCTGCAAAAACTACTTCAGCCTCCAAGAGAATATGTGCTGGACCGTCCACAAGCTTGAACCCAAAAAGTACATCTAAAAAATACTAGCATAACTTGACAGTCATTTCCTGCAGCATCACCAGTTATTGACTTACTGTCCTAATGCCAGGTACAAGTGCAGCCTCTCAACTGCAAACTGCACAGCCAAGTTCAGCTGAACATTCAGTGGTTGCAAAACTGCCGGCCCAAGCCTCATCCGTTGCAAAAAGCTTATTCACCCCACTCCAGTCTCAAGTCAGTTCTCCTTGTACAGCTCAACTAAGCTATCCCATGGGAAATGAACTTGCTTCTTGTCAATCACAAAGGCCATCATCTGTGGTTCCAAATGCTCATGCCCAACAGGAGATTGCTTCCTCTCAATACTCTATAGTTTCTTCCAAGAGACTAATAGTCAGTCCTATGAAAGGGGGCACCTATTATTCTGTCGAGAGGAGTTGCCATGTCAGCTCCCCCTTAAAATCAAGCACCCAGAGATCTTCAAAAAGGGAACATGTGAAAGGGAGGTTAGATTTTGACAGTTCAGATGCAAGGCCAGTTCCAGCTGAACATGTTTCTGACAAGCCCTCTAGCTCTACCTATAATGGAGAGAAGCAAGATGACTTTGACATTGATTTCACAAACTTTGATCTCTTTGAAGGCGACTTCTCATTTTCGGAACTATTGCTTGACTTTGATCTTGACAATGAAGGCCTTCAATGTGAGAATCCTTCCACAAATGCTGAAGTTCAAAGGTATGCTACTGTGTTCTTATTGGATGCCTTTGGTTTTTTGTCCTTGGTGATTCTATAAATGCTAAGATGGTTCTGTTGTGTAAATTGAATGATTACAGACTACAGCCCACTGTGAAGAGTAACAACATGACTGCTGATCCAGCTTTTCCAGATCCAATGAAGCCAATGTCAGCAGATCCCACTGAAGACATCAATTCACAAGGTTAGAGAAAGCTCTAATAAGATGCTGCACTGTCTTGATTTTGTTCATCCTATCATCACTTTTTTGTAACAAATCTTCCATGCATACCTGTTTGTGCAGGAGCTACATCTGTTACTTCTGTCAGAGCTATTACTAAGAGGATAAAGATTGTTAGCCCTGGTATGCCTATAACCTCTACCTATCATGCTTCTCATGTACAACAGGTTTTAAAGTTATCTAATATGCTAGCTGTATTTGTTTGCAGTTAAGGGCCGCTCAGCTTCTTAGCTTGGTGAATAGAACTGAACATCACAAGGAGCAGATGTCCTCTGGATACGACCACTAACTGAGATGATCTAGATGGCTACCTAATTTGTTGCTACATGCTGTTTCGACCAACTGCGCCGCACTGAGGAGTTCTTTCAGCATTACACATGGCTTTCTGATGGCAAGCTTGTGCTGTTTTGTTCCTTTTTGCATTTAGTATTTAACTGCCTTCATGTATAGCTGATATTGAATTGTAAGTGTTTCTCTTGACATTAATGTTATCGTGTCAGAAGTTTGCTATATTAAACCTATGATGGTATTTTCCATGGTTTGCATCAAGCTTTTGGTGCTCCTAAAATGTTCTTTGCTTTAGTGAATTAGAGCATAAAGTGCACTACTGATGCATCAGTCATAACTAATGCAGATGTGATGTTCTTGAGCCAATATAGAAGTGTGCAGAATCGTAGGTATTTGTGCTGGCTGGTCCTATAAAAAAAGTTGCTAAATATACGGGTTATTACTACTTTGGAAGACTAATACATACACACTTGTTGTGGAGCAGTGCTACACACACGATGCTGTGCGCACGATTCATGCACGACAACAGATCCCTGTCCGTCCATGCATGTAGCAGAGTCCAGCAGACCGTTTGATCCCGCATCGTTCATCTGTCGTGCATACTGTTGTCGTCCGCGCAGCAGTTCCGCTTGTTGTGATGTCATTACACAGATTTGATAAATTTGTTTGCCTACTTTGTTCCTGCCCATCTCTTGCATCATGTAAATTTCTATGGTTTCCGCACTCTCTCCTTATGTGGATGGTTCCCTCTGATGTTCCTGTTGGGGTTCAAATTACTGGCTTCATAGATACTTGTGGCTTCCAGCTGAGAGTAAGAGAGGGAGATACAGTTCTAAGATGAGAATTTTCAACCAACAAGCTTAAAAGTAGAAAACAGGCGTCCAGATGAAAAGCATATTGGGTGGGGAGACACGTATGGATTTGTTATATCAGAATATCATACATGATTGATATTTTGATAATATGAAGATCCTACATAACGTTGTCTGTTAAAGTGAATAGAGAAGATAAACATTGCAAAAATACCAGTGGTACCATCTCCGAGCCAGCTCCAGAATGTCTTGAGAGCAAACAGCAGAATATGCCTTTGAGAAAATGGCTTGAGTAGACATCCTAAAGGATCGCATGATCCTTTCTTATCGCTTGTCACATCCTGTCTAATTTGTTTCATGGATCGTTGCCGTGTACTCATTTGAATGGCCATGGCTAGTGCTTGATGTTGGCAAATCACAAATAAAATAAAATTGTGCTGAGTTATTAATTATAATTTAAGTTTTCAAGTTTATGTTTCCGTCCCTTTTGTTGTCTTATTTCTTCTATTAGCTTTAAGTAGTTCATATTGTATTGGTGAAGATACAAATTAAAACGAAACCTATAGTGTATCATGATTCATCATCATCGTTGCTACTGGTGTTGCGTTTCATCCCCAGACGAATTAGAGTTACATGAGTCCATGATTTTATCCATGTAATCTGAGCTAGAAATTTTGTGTAATGCGGTACTAGTTACTTTACTGAATTTTCCATGGGGTGGCACAAACATTGTACTTATTTCTTTTGTACATCAAGTGTAAATTTTCTGGCGATCGACACTTTTAGTTAAGCAGACATTGAGACACTTCACATTCCATCTACCCCCTCTGCCTATCTCAACCTGAATCTGTTGACTTGCTGCTCCTTTACCTCTGGGCTCTGCTCCTACCTTCGGCCGTTTGCCCTGCTTCTTCTAGTTCGAATGCCAGCTTATGCTTGGAGTCGACGTTTGCTTTCCAATCTGCAGCTTATGGGAGAAATGGGACGCCCATACCATTCTCGTCTGGTGAAACCGAGCCTCTAATCCTCTTTCCGTCTTGCTTTGGGTTGCTTGATCACTACTCCTTCCGTCCCTTGAAAAACGATCTTATATTGTGGGATGGAGGGAGTACCTTTCATGATTTTTTATTTTGTGTGTGTAAGACATTACTTTGTTATATAGGTTGGCACTGCCTTAGCCTTGGATTGCTTCCGTCTTGAGAATAAGACTAGAATCACCATACTCAACAAAACCTGATATTTAAGTCGCCTGAAAATTTAGTTTGGGTAAGTTCTTCCTCCAGCTTTCTTTCTCCTCCAACTGTTCCTTCTCCCACAAAATTGACTTGTCCAAATTGCAACTTCAGTCAACTTACATATAGCTATTTTGGATATTTAAGCCCTGTTCGAATACACTCCGCTCCGCCACAGCAGCTCCCGGAGAGGACGGAGCGCCAGCACTATTGCTGGGAGCGGCTCATACCGCGCTCCTCGCGCGGAGCGGAGTTAGCTGACGGGAGAGATTCCGAACACCCCCTTAAAAGTGCTATATTGTTTTGACATATGTAATCAAACCCTGAGTGCTACTCCTACTATCTTAAACAAATATTAGGATTAGGTATTTGTAGATCATATTCATAATTTTTCTCTCCATTTATTCGGTCTTAACTATAAATACGTTACCTTGGAAATCAGCAGGAAATGTTGTGCCCCGCTTGGAATGGTTGTAGAATTAGCATGGCCACCTGTATTTAGCTTGACTTTGAACCTAATACTGGTGACTACACTAATTTTACACCCGTTTCAAACAGCCCCATGAGGATAATAAACAGCAGTGTGAAGGAGAATCTGGTGTTGGCTAGACATGAATCTTCTAACACTGGGGGTAGTCCGGCGGCGGCGGAGGAAGAACGGTGTCCGGGGTCGGGCCGTCATCCACCTCGAACGCCATGGCTAGCCCGAAAGGCAAATGAGCGTCCAAGTGGCAGTGCATGACCCATACACCTGGGTTGTCGGCCGTGAAGCGGATGACCGCCCACCCACCGGCCGGCACGGCGACGGTGTTGCGCTGCTGTGGGTTGACGAGGTTGTAGGAGCGCACGGCGGTGCGCGCGTTGAAGTTGCCGGCGCCCTGCGCGAGCACGTAGAAGTTGAAGCCGTGCAGGTGCAGCGGGTGGTTCTCCGACCCCAGGATGGCCGTGTTCTGCAGCACCACCTCCACCGTCGTGTTGAAGCGCAGCCTCTTCACCCTGGTGCCCTTGGACGTCAGCATCACGCTCCTGTTGCTGCTCATGGAGCCGTTGGTGAAGTCGAACATCACCGGCGGCCTGTCGGGGAAGTCGCGGGTGTACACCCCGTCGGCGTTGCCCCTCATGCGCGCCTCCAGCAGAGACATGGCCTTGGGGAGCTGGAACGACACGTTGTTCATGCTGGCCGCTACGGAGCCGCGCGTCCGGTTGCACAGCGTCTGTGTTGGCATGCACGGCGCGATGCCCAGCCCGTAGGTGACCAGCATCCGCGTGTCCACGTGCAGGGGAACCGTCGGTTTGCCGTCTCGCAGCAGGCCGGTCAGGCTGCCGTAGAAGTCCTGCGCCGTTGCGCTGTCTTTGAACTCCGGCATGCTCGGCATCATGATTGTACTCATACCAGCTGCTTCTGCACCGTGCTCGTACCGGAGGAGCCCCGTGGTGGTGGTGGTGTAGGTGGCATTGGCCACGCTCTGGTACACCTGGGCGGCCATGCAGTAGCGGCCCGGGGAGGCGTTGGCGTGCATGAGAGCGTCCACCGTCTGGCCCGGAGCGAGCACGATGACGTCCGTGTTGTAAGGGTCGGTGTAGCAGGCGTCCGCGGCGACGACCGTGAAAGCGTGGCCCGCGACCTTGAAGAAGAGCTGGTAACTGAGCGCAGCGTTGACAAGGCGGAGCAAGTAGGTCTCGCCGTGCCGCACGGCCAGCTCGTAGCCACTGGGTATGCCGTTGATGGTGAGCGCGACGGAGTTGTTGGGCGGGCCGCCGGTGAGCATGGCTTGCCTCTCGATGTCGACGACGCTGGCGTTCCACCACTCGCCGAGTAGGAGAGTGGCCTCGCCGTAGGGGGCGGGGAAGGGGTAGTGGGGTCTGTCGGGTCCGGGACGGATGAGGAGCGCGCCGTAGACTGTGGCGCGGAGGAAGGAGACGTGGGCGTGCCACCAGAGCGTGCCTTCCTGGCCGGTGACGTTGAAGCGGTAGGTGTAGGTGGCGCCGCCGGGGCGGATGGGGCACTGCGACACCATGCTGGGGCCGTCGGCCCAGCCGGAGAGACGCTGGAGGACGCCATGCCAGTGGATGGTGATGTTGTAGGGGGAGTAGTTGACGACGTGCACCACGACGGCGTCGCCGTCGCGAGCCTCCAGCATGGGCCCCGGGAACTGCCCGTTCACCGCCGTGATTACCTGACGCTGCCCCAGCCGATCGATCGTCAGGTTGCCCACCTGCGCATATGCATTGCAACGATCCCATTGATGCCGTCAACGTTATGAAATAGCTGTCGATCAGCAGTGCACCGCAGAAATGTGCACGCAGGTTGAACCGCAGGGGAATGGATAGCAATAGCATGCATGTAAAGAGATTAGTAGTAGTCACGTACAGAGAATGTGTGCTCCACAACGGCAGCATCAGCCGGAGGCAGGCCAAGGCATCCGAGAAAAACGAGAGCATATGCAAGCCAAAACATTTCTCGATGGATCACACCAATGCAATGCAGTGCAGTGCAGAAGGAAGGTCGTAGGGCTGTTGGACGCATCTCAGGCAATATATAAGGGAAGGCCCGCCGGGGTACAGTAAGATGGATGATTTTCGGCTAGAGTTACACGCAATGCTATCCATTCGGAAAGAAAGACGCTGCGGACTGCAGGTGGGTGGTCTGCTTCTGGGACGGATGCACGAAGACTACGTGTGGCACGGGCATCTCGGAGCTGGATAGACCTCGATGGGCGATTCGAGCTACTATGAGAAGGCACGGGCAACGATCGCTAGACACCCTACCTAGCAATACGTACCTTTGCTTAAAGGCACCCATCCATTCATGCCATGCTATATACTTATAATGTACACGAGCTAGCGTTGAAGGTACACGTACAAGTGTGTGTGATCACA